CATTATAATGCTATTTGCTACGTTTATCATTTGATCACAGTGATTCTTTTGCTTCATATTTATGAACCGTTACATGTGCATTCTATTTATCCAACCATGCATTTATCTATATTATATTTTTATTTTAATTATTTTTTTGCACATTTTTATTTTTACTTTGAAGTTTCTTCTTTTCAGTTTAAACTAAGCTTTTTGGTTTGGGCAACGTGATATATTAAATTTTTATATTCACGTTTTTTTCTAATTTCAAAAGATCTTTTTAGCTAATTGTTTATGCTAACTCTGTCAGAAACATTTGTCAGTGCTATTTATTTATTTATTTATTTATTTTTATTTATTAATTTTTTTTTTTTTTTTGAAAAAAATCATATTTCTATTTTATATTTCATTTAACACCTCATCTGTTGATGTCAAGTTATGGACGAGACCCTGCGTGTGGCGGTAGTTGCACCTTATGCAAGCCGCTATGACGATGAGAAGGACGTCATAGTTGGAGGTTACGTCCTACCGGCTGGGGTAATTAGGAGTAAATGATGTCATTGTTTGTGAAAATATTTCATTTTGTGCCAGTTTTCTTATTATATTTAAATCTGTATATTTCAGTTTTTATCATATGCTGGGAAGTTAGAATTAACTGTTTCATAGTAGAAAGACACAATGACACTGATGGGGAAAATTAATTTTGGAGCAGCTTGTTTGTCCCTCTGTTTTTCAATTGATTCATTATTTACTTATTCATTTTAATGCGTTCTGATTTTGGTCATAGCAAGGATATCGTTATGAATGCTGATTATATTCGCTGCGGTTTGTGTGTGTACAATAATTCAAGAATATAATAGTGATACTTTCTTGCAAAGCATTATTTTTCCAGACTACCATTATACATGCTTTGGGTGTGACATTTAATGATCCAAAATGTTGGCCAAGTCCCAAGAAGTAAGTTTTACAATTATGATTTGTCCATAACTGTATAATGCATTTTTCCTTCATTTTGAAATTAGAGATACGATTCATTATAGTGACTACATGAAATTAAGAAAAAAACAGATATTTGGATTAACTTCAATGGAATTAAGAGAGAAAATATTTGGATTAACTCCTTATGGATATAAAGATTTGACAAAATTAAATTCAAATTTCGACTTATTGATTTTAAAAAAAGTTAAATTTAATCAAATTTAAGCAATAACAGTATTGTGAGAGCTGTGACGTGTCGGCAATGTTTGTGCCTTAAGAATGGGATCAGCCATTTCAATTTTAGAATTTTAAAATAATTTTAAAATAATTTTAAAATAATCCACCTGACCTTATGGGCTTGTGCGGAAAAGTTCTATTTTAATCATATCGTTATGGGAATCATCTATTGAATTAAGAATATAAATTGAATTAAACGTATTCTCCCAGGTTTGATCCAGATCGTTTCAGCCCGAAGAAAGTGTCAGAGCGCCACCCCTACTCCTTTCAACCCTTTGGTTTTGCCGGCAAGAGGAAGTGTCCTGGGTACCGTTTCGCTTACGCAGAAGTAGCTACGGCACTGGCGAACATTTTGCTGAGGTTTGAGGTGTGTATGCAAGGCACCTAAATTGACCCCCAAAACAGATACAAGCAAAGAAGAGAAAACGCTTTTCAGACAAACTTTGGAAAGGAAATGGCACATCTTTTTATCAGTAGAAAGAGAAGCAAATATAATAATGACGTCACATAGCAACAATACACACATTATAAAGGAATGCAAATATGGTTGTTAGAATTGCATAACCAACGCTTTCATCACTGTTGTTTATTTTGTAGATTCATAATGTCAACGGTCAGAGGGTCAAGGTCAAGTATGGACTAGTTGGTACCCCTGAAGACGAAGTCTGGATAACAGTTACTGAAAGGTCCTCCAGCAATTAAGAAAAATATTTCATGTGAAAGAGATCCACAAACTGACGAAATTTATCAAACTGAAACGATCCCTTGCTGTCTCCCCGCCTCTCACACGCCTCCCCATGTGTCGTCCCAATGGAGCCGAGATTTAATGACCGTACCCCCGCAGGGACGACGCATTGGGAGGCGTGTGATAGGCGGAGAGACTGTTAAAAGATTAGGCGGTTTTTCTTTCATGTGCGTCCGTCATATTTAGTTCCAGGATTTGTAAAGCCATGGTTCAACTCGTTGTGAATGCGATCTTATTTCATTTCATTGACAATTGACGCATGGAAACTCTATGTGTAGAAGGTGTTTTGTTGCTGAATAAGCTAACATAATGTATGTGCTCTAAAAGTGTTAATTTTATGGAACTAATATAAGAGAAGTATTGAACATATGCCAAACGTGTAGAAAAGCTATCTTGCCATATTAATAGGCTTTTCGGCCTTTGAAGTGTATCAACCCCCTACTGTCAAGTTGAAACTCATTTGTATATTTCATTTGATTTCATTTTAATATATATGCTTTACTTTATTCACTCGCAGTGAATTTTCACGTATTTTGATGAAAGGGTCTATAAATTCTAGGAATTTCAGTCAAGACTAATAGACCCATGTTTTTACCTAGTTCATATTTCCCCTATACAGCCAACAGCGATAAAGAGTGATTTCTAAACAAAGAAGTACACATGTTTGTCATGTATTGTACCATGTAAACAACACTTGAATCTACAGGTATATGGCGGAAGCTTACATATGGCGGTCTATAATTCGTAACATGCTTTATCGTATTCTCTTTATATGCATCCAGCTTGATTTAATACCGTAAGTTGGTAAAATCCGGATTTTTCCCTGTGACATTCGAAGTTTTCAAGGTATGCTGCAGACAGCACATGCTGGAGATATTTTTTCTGTGAGTATAAAACTACAAGTAGGTAAGAGAAAGAAAACGTGTCCATAAGCTGTGGCATAAAATCTGCATTGATAACGACTTCATTCTGCTGTTTCGACGCCTTTTTTGTTAAAAAGTTCAGAAAAAGTGCATTATAAGATTATCCCTTGGTAATTATTTCAAATTGCCATTTACTTAACTCCATATATGATAGCAACTTTTTCAAGTGTTTTATTAACGTCTTCCAGGTGAAACAAATCAACACGGATGCAAAGGAGTGATGTATGTTTTATCGCTGTGTATTGTTGTGGCAGTGCCCTTTCTGGCATTACTTGCGTTTTTGTCAATCATAAAAAACAAGGTAAGATAACAAGACACCTGACTGATGATCAATATTCATTTCTTTACACCATATTTAATGCCATGTGCCTCAGTAGTAATGAAATCATTCGCAAACTATTTAAAACTATTATAAATGAACAGTAGCCCAGTACTTTGTTTGGAAACCATGTAAGAAATGTAAGATAAAGAAGAGATGATGTACGAACATTTGAAAGCACTTTATAGTAGCTTTGTCTAAGCGCAATTTGAGATACACAATCCATTATGATATTTTTGGATTTGCACTTCATGGAAACAGCAATTACTTGATTGCCGACTGTAGCCTTAAAGCCGGTCTTGCTTTATTTCAATTCTCGATTTTCCTTCCTTCATGCACAAGAAACAAACGATTGAAGGAAGTGCCGTGTAGGGACTTTTTATTTATTTGAAAATCGCGTGTTTCCATGTGAGATCCTTCAGACATTGAAAGAACTGCCCTTCATGAAAAAGATTGTATACAGACAAAAAGTAAAGTACAGTGGGCGCCCACGTAGTACTTTTACATGGTAAATTTACCAAGTACCTCCATTGCTCATAATATCGCCTGTGACGAAGAAATTGGGAAAGGCATGCAAAAAGTAATTATTGGAATAAAACATTTGTAGACGGAGTCGCATGGACTATTTTAGGTACGGTATAAATTATAGATACATATCCTTTCTATGTTGCAGATTTCAGGCAGCGACATGATAGGCAGCAAAGACATTCCAGGTCTGAAATCTCAGAATACCAAGTAAGTACCCGGATACTGAAGTCACGTGCAGTTATTTACAACTCGTTGTGTCAAAACAGTATCACAATGCAACTTTAAGCAAAAAAAAAATAAATGTTAGACCACCAAGAAGCAGATATTAATATTCTACGTAAATTAATTTCCCTTTGCAGCAAAAATCGACATAATTTGCTCAGTCAGTAATTTCTTCTTGTCATCAGCTCCTGGCTCAAATTGTAAGAGTTACATGCGTGACTTAAAGGCAAATGAAAATGTGGAGCCGTGATTAAAAAAACAAGTCGTGCTGACGACATAAATGTAAGGTCTAATCTGTTTATCCCTGAGAAAGAAGGGACTCTTGTGTTTTGTACTAAGAATCATCAATCATCAATCCCTTATGGTCAGGTCTTTACGCCCTATCTAGTATTCTTTATGCTGAGCGCTTATCTTTCAGAAATGGAAATCTAGATCTGGTTAAAAAACATGGCAGTCTTTATGAGTTCCTTGTATGGCTACACCAGCAGTATGGACCCATAGCAAAGTTCTGGTATGGAGAACAAATGGCAGTCAGCATTGCCTCTCCTCAACTGTTTAAAGAGACCTCGCGTATGTTCGATAGACCAGGTGATAGATGTTTTGGTTGGTTTTGCTCATTTAGTGTCAAAATCAATTTTAGCGATTGTAGTTAATTTAAACAAGATCATGATATATATGCATGATTTGCTATACGTTTTACACATTATCGAGAAAGATTTAAAACTTTGTATTTTTTAAAGAAAAATATATGTCAGCACTGAGCTAAATAATAATAATAATAAGTCACAAAACCAGTAATATTCATGATCAGTTATTCTACATCTAACTACATTGGACTTTGTGGTGTTTATTTTCTAACATAAAGCTGATCCAAACATTTCAGAGGTTTTGATGAATATCTTCAAACCTTTGTTCACTGAACATGCTATCCCGTTTGCCAACAAAGAAGACGGAAAATGGAGGAGGAACACTTACGATCCTAGCTACAGTCACGAAAGTGTGATGAGATGTATAGAAAAATTCCAAACGGTTATTCAATTTAATTTATTACATATAATCTGATCCTGTCAAAAAGTCAGAAACGTTAAAATGCGGTACGCCCACATATTTGAATTCTGAGGATGTTTATTTTCTATGAATACAGTATGTCAGTTTATGCTTTTGTAAATTCAATGCGATATCACAGGCGATCCTTAAAACAGATGTAATTCCATTTTAAGGTAATTAGAAGCGTTTCAAATACGTTATAGGCCTACTATTCGTCATATAAAGCGAATATGTGAATAATTCTCTTTTTTCACTAAATCTTGCCGCACCTGATGGAATAGTTAACTAGGGAATGGCAAGAATCTTGATAAATTATGATTTCCTTTTTTGTCTCACAATTTCAATAATCACAGCTTGCCGAGGAATTGGTGGAGAAATGGTCTCAAACACCACGTGGTGAACATATCCCTTGCCGCCAGGAGGCGTTTTTGTTCACGTTGAAGGCCATAACACAGGCTTCACTTGGAGACTACTTTTTGGATGAGGAGCAGATCACACAATTTTTGAAGGCATATGATGTAGTAAGTTTAAATCGACGCCTTCAGCGTATTCAGAATAAGTTGATCCGCGGATCAAATATGGTCGACCCACTAAAAAACTTTTTCCCTAAAGTACACTGAATAGTTTCCCCGCAGGGATTTTGCGTTAAGCTTTCAAGTGGGTCTGCCATATTTGATCCGCGGATCTGTTAGTCCGCTGAGTCAAATTTGGTGGTGAATGCGGACTTTGAGCCAGCATTGGGAGTCGTGTCTATGGGATGGCGAATACGGGTATTCTAACATGAGACTGTATGCATAATTGTCTGCGCAAAATTAATTCACATTAATTAGACCAGCATATGAACGGTGTTCTGTTTTCCTTGCAAATTAAGGACATTACATTCTTACAGTGTTGGTATGATATGGAAGAGAGACTTACAGGGGATATACCGCAACCTGGAAGTGAGCGTGAAAAGAAATTTAACAACGGTGGGAAAATATTTTATATTATTCAGACCTTTTTTTCACGTGTACATGTAGTTGTTCGAAGCAATTATGAAAGTGTCATCTCTTAACGAAATTACTTAATTTAATTACATAATTTCTTCTCAGTTATATAGGTGTACTGAGGTTTTAAGATTTTCGGCTAATACTACCTGTGCTGCTTATGCTAAAGGATTGGATATCCCCACTAGCACTTCGTTTGTTAAGAAAATGTTTAATTTTACTGTACATAATCTGTTTTCCGCCCGTTCGACTTCCAGATATATTTTTCTCTTTACAGCGAATAAATACATGAAAGAAAGATTAGCAGCTGCGATCGACTTAAGACGAAAGGCCCCGACCACCGAGAAACGCGAGATGTTAATTGACGTCCTGATTGAGAACAATATCCCAGATGACATGTTGCAGGGAGAGCTGATTAGCTTCATCATTGGTGGATTCCATTCATCAGGAAATTGTGAGTATATGACTGTATTAACTAGTTCTGATGAACCGTTTGATGAATTATTAGAACGATCACAACTGTGTACGCCTGTTCAATTTTAATTTCTGAAATTTAATTTAAAATATCTTGAAAACCTTAATATGAGGTTCAGGATTACCGTACAATGCCTTTATTTAGATATTGAATAGCAGTGACGTAAACATCTCTGTCTAGGCTGATCACTCCCAAGGCATTTCCACAGCTTGATTAAGAATTTTTCTAGGGGAAAGGTGGAGACGCAAAAATGACTTACACTGTATTTTAGGCTAGTACAGTATATACTAGTATAACGCAATTACATTACAATTCATGTATGCGAAGTATGCTGATGGAAGGAAATCACTTGGTTTTGTCTTGATTCGCTAGTTATACGTTGCGTTAGATATACTTTGGGGGAGGGGTAAGGGAGCAAGTCCTAAGAAAGCTATAAGGGTGCACTGATAGCCCTTGACGTATCTTTGTTTTCACTTAGGGAATTTCAAACCACACTATTGCCCTACTCGCCAAACCCATACGACCAACTGAAAACTAAACTGTTTATAACATTCCAGTGCTAGTGTGGGCCCTCCACTTCATCTCTGTATATCCTGTCGTTCAGGAGAAAATGTTCCAAGAAGTAAAAGCCGTACTGGGCGACACAGGCAAGGTTACACCGGATAACATTGCACAGTTGGTGTAAGTGCTTGTATAAAAATCACTGACTTTGTGCTGGTATTGCTACTGTGTGTATGTGTGGTAACAAATAGTAATATTTTCATCAAGTTCATGGCCAGTAAAGTACAACCATTAATTTATTTATTTGTACATTTATCCCAAATTTACCTTATGCATATTGCTTTTACAACCGTCAAAAAACATCATGATTGACACTGCATCTTTCTTCTGTTGATGCACGACCAGGTTCATCCGTCAGGTAATGGACGAGACGCTGCGCGTGGCGGTGGTTGCACCTTACGCAGGCCGCTATGACGATGAAAAAGACGTCAAACTTGGAGATTACGTCATACCAGCTGGGGTAAGTGTGAGACGTCATTATGTATGGTAATATTAAGAACCTACGCCATTTCTTTTTTGTTTGTTTGTTTATAAGACATAGATGCTGATTCTTCAGAAATTATGTTAAGTCTTAATCATATTTGCCATATGTAAAAATACGAATTTCCATGCAGTTTTATCGACTTCTTAATGTTTACGGGCCACCATGGGAATGTTTGCCTTATGATATTATTTTTTGTATTAATGGCTGTACTTGTAGTGGTAAAGGCCCTACGATAACCGTGCTAACTGAAGGTAGCATGTTCACACTGGTACTTGTGATAAAAACTACAGAGAACTTTGTTCGTTCTTGTTTTTCTGTTTTTCTTTTTGATATGGTTTACATCAAGGTTCAAGGCAAATAGAAAAAATGTAGCAAATGCCAACATTTGCATAGGAGATGTTCTTATAAAACCATCTAGTTCTGTAAAAGATCTGAGAGTTACCCTCGATGAAAATGGCACTATGGGCAAGCGTGTATCTGAAGTGTGTAAATCAGCATCTTATGCACTATGGCGCATTGGAAAAATAAGGAAAGTGTTAGATAACAAAACCACTGAAAAATTAGTACATGCATTTATATCATCAAGATTAGATTACTGCAATAGTATCCTCTTTGGTATTTGTGACTATCAGATTAAAAAGTTACAAGTTATTCAAAACTCAGCTGCAAGACTGGTTTGACAAATTAAGTACAATAGTACACACCATATCACTCCCATTCTGAAAGAATTACACTGGCGGCCTGTGAAGCAGAGGATTGATTTAAAAGTACTTTGTATTATTTTTTAAGGCGATCCATTCACAAGGACCATTATATTTATCTGATCTTATCTGTTTTAACTTGCCACGGCGGTCCACTCGTTTTAATGCTGAAAATGATTTTATTTTAGAACATTCTGTTTTAGAGAAGGGTTGCCTCAAAAGTTATGGAGATCGTGCTTTTATAATCTACGCCCCAAAAGTGTGGAATGGTCTACCAAATTTTATTAGAAAAACAGAAGACTTTGACAATTTTAAATCTCTTTTAAAGACCCACATTTTTAATTCTGTCTATATCTCTTAGATTTTTTTAAATATATATATGTATTTTAATAAGATTGATTTTTAGTAGTGTAAATTTTAAATGGTTTCCAATGAGAGTTTATGTTTAAAATATTGTAGTCATTTTAATGATTTTAGTATATTAGCCATTATTGTAAGGCGCCTTGAGATAGAATGTAAGGCGCCATATAAGAATCTTATTATTATTATTATTATTATTATTATTATTATTATTATTATTTATTCTAATCTTATTTTATTATATTTTCATGTTTTATGTTAATGTTTATCATTTGTTTGTCTTGTTATTTCGTGGAGTCCTTAATTCGATCTAATCTGGATCATAAGAGAGATAAGATAGACTTCTATGAAATCTGTTTACTGCGGTTTGAGTGTATATTATATACAAAATAACATCTGATTTATACACAGGATATATAGAATACTTTGTGACGAACTATTACGTCTAATTTCTAGACTCCCATTCTCTATGCGTTGGGTGTAGTGCTGAATGATCCAACATGCTGGCCAAATCCCAAGAAGTACGTTATTTTAGAATTGTAATTCAGGCCCGTAGCCAGCGGGGTCGGGGGGTTCGAAAGAACCACCACTTTTGCTGGGAAAAGGTCCACTCTAGGTAAAATTATAATCTAGGTACATAAAGGTTTTATGGGAAAAGGTCCACTTTTTTAGAAAAGAACCCCCCTTTTGAAATTGCTGGCTACGGGTCTGCAATTTGTATATAAATGTATGATATGCATAATATAAAATGTATGATTTGATATGTACTTATTATGGGATAGGGCAAAGTTAAACTAATGTGATGGAATTAAGCGAGAACAGACATATCTATGAGCTCCATATACATCTGAAATTTTTCAAAATCCGAATTCAAAACTGACGTTCACTTTTCTAATTACGTTTAAAGCTATTAAAGCTAATGTCGAAGTTTTGCTTTCAGACCTCAGGTCTATTCTGATTTAGAGTGTAAATTGGAATTAATGTATGCTCCCAGGTTTGACCCAGATCGCTTCAGCCCAGAGAAAGCGTCAGAGCGCCACCCCTACTCCTTTCAACCGTTTGGTTTTGCCGGCAAGAGGAAGTGTCCTGGGTACCGTTTCGCTTACGCAGAAGTAGCTACGGCACTGGCGAACATTCTGCTGAGGTTTCAGGTGTGCTTAAAATACGCTGTAAAGAACAAAAAATGAGAAAATAAAATCGCATTTTCAGACAAACCCTAGAAGGAAACGGCACATCTACTTATCAATAAAAAGGGTTGTGGATTCAATTCTGTTGCCACATAGTACAATAAACTAATGCGAAATCATACACATATGATTAATTCAAATAAACTTGCATATATTCATCTCATCAGTTTCTTCGCACTTGTAGGTTCATGAGGTCAAAGGTCAGAAGGTCAAGGCCAAGTATGGACTAGTTACTACCCCTGAAGACGAAGTCTGGATAACGCTGACTGAGAGATCCTCCAATTATTAAGTGAAATAGATGAAGATAAATGTATTCAGTAAAACAATAACTTCAATCTAATTTTGTCAAGACATCATTAAGGTTAATTGTACCACCAGCGTTAGCGCTGGCGGTACACATGGTTTCGGTCCCGTCCGGATCGTTCCGCCGGCTCCGCCGGCTCCGCCGGCTCCGCCGGACGGCTACCGTTACCGCTTCTCCTCCTAGACGGTAAGGGCCCCCGTACCCATCTCTTGGATTTAGGTTACCTATAATCTCAACTCGTTCCATGTAAAATTTGGGCTTTGTCGGTATTGGGGTCTAGGTGTGGCACTCATTGCAATGCACCCTTGTCTAAAAATGGCAAAATTAAATGCTAATTATCTACCCTACGGAAGGAGTTATGGGAAAAATTTCTACAGACGGCTTTCCAAAAGTCATATGTGTAGATTTCAAATAT